GGTGGTGATTATTTTTTTTAAACGTATATTATTAAACACCATTTAAATAATTCATTGGAATTTTTTTTTTTTTTAGGCGCGTCGAATAAAAAATTGAGCGTTTTTTTTTATTCAATTCTTTTTAGGAAAAAGTGGTTGTTGAGAACGTGGATAGTTCCACGTTAATGACGTGGTTCGATTCGATTGCTTACACGACGAAAATAATTTTTTATCGTTTTTGCTTCCCACGTTTCATTCTTAATTACGCTTTGTAAGTTTTTTTCCAGCGATACGGATACGGAAATTATGTTTCTCAGTACCATATCCGGTATTTATCAATCAGCTGATCGTTGATGACGTAAACGCTGTCGTAATCGGAATCGAAATCTATTCTTTCCATATTCCCGATGAATATTCTAGAGTATGACATTTAAATATGCTTTTATAAAAATTAATTAAGTGGTCGACGATTTCCGTCATCGTCATCGCCATCACCATCATCATCATCATCATCATCATCATCATCATCATTATCATTATTATTACCGAGTTTTGTTTTTTTTGTTTTGTAATATCCCGAAGCGGAAGCAACGACCAGTGACCGATGGTTTTACTGGTTGTCATGAATTTATATGACGTGACAATTACGAGGTGAAGAGTAAGTTCAAGTGTCTATTTTTTATTTTAAATAAAATTTTATTTTTTGACTTAAATATGAAATATTGATGAGAGAGTCATAAAAAAGAGAAAGGGGAAGGATGGAGGGGGAGGGGAATGGGAAGAAAGATGAAGGGAGAGAGAGAGAGAGAGAAATGGGAGTCGTTAAAACGGTTAATTTTTTTTTTTGAAGTCTTTGAAATAAAATTATATTTTTTTTATTTATTACTCCTCGAAAACATTTTATTCATACTTAAATTTCATCGAGTTTTGGACATTCCAGGAAAATATTACTGGAAAATTCATGGAGAACGAAAAAAAAATAAAATAAATAAACGAGTCCGCTTTGATTATAATTAAGTGAGACTATATTCGTCCGTTACGACTGACGAATGGGTAAGGAAGAGAAAGGGGAGCAAAACAAAATAATAATAATAACAATAAAAACAAAATTTTCATTCAAAGCTACTATTACGATGAAGGGGGAGGGGGAAAGGAGAAAGGGGAAGGGAGAAAAAAAGAAAGTACCGACCGTGAAAAAGGAAAAAAAATGAAAAAGCTTTCGCGTAAGATTTGATAAACCGACGCGAGGCGACATAAAGTAAATTGATTCATCGAATAAGAATAAAAGAGCAATAAAAGAAAATCCGAGAAAATTAATTTTGGTTTGAGAGTGGGGAGCGGTGGTGGTGGTGGAAGTAGGAAAAGAAAAAAAAACGAAAATGAAAGAATGATGAACGAGGAGAGAGGAAAAAGAAAAAGGAAAAGTGTTATAAAAAAAAAAGGCGTAAAATATGAGAAACCGGTTGAAAGAGAGAGAGAGAGAGGAGAGAAGAGGTTGAAGGGTCCCGAAAATATGATGAGAAAAAAGAAAAGGGGAGAGGGGGGGGAGAGAGAGAGGTGAAAACGCACACACACACACGTGAGTTTAATATCGGTGTAAAAAAAATAATAAAATAAATAAAAATTGTTTCAAAACAAAACGCGAAATGTTTCGAAACATTTTAATAAAAAAAAAAGAAAAATTATTATTATTATCGAATAATAAAAGAAGAGCATTCGGTTATGAATATCGTTTTGTGAAAATATTATTATTATTGTTTTTTTTCTTTTCTGCTTCCACGTCTTTCCTTTTTTTCACTTTCTTTCTTCCTATTTTAAAAAAAAATTTTTTTCTTTTTATCGGTTTGTGAGATTTTCCAGATTTCAAAATTGGAAAATATTTAAAAGAATACAAAATAATAATAATAATAACAATGAGGGGTAGAAAAAAGGCTTTGAGAGATTTAAAATAAAATAAAAAAAGCGGCGAGAAACGAAAAAAAAAAAGTTTTAAATAAAATTGAATTAAATTTATAGTTTTTATATCCGCCATTTTTATTTATTTTAAATCTCTTTTTCCTTTTTTTTCCTTTTTTTTTTTTTACTCTTTCAAACGAGTAAATTTTAATTTACAAAAAAAAAAAAAAAAATAAGAATAAGGTACGATCGTTTTAATTTTTTTTTCAAATTTTAACTGCTCCCACTTTAAAAAAATAAAATTTATGCGCGAGTGAGTGCGAAGGAAGAAAAATTGAAGTAAAGTCGCCCGAAGGACTCGATCGTAAGTCGTCATACGTCAGAGATCTCAGGAGGGGGTCTTACAGGTCCCGTGATTCCCCTCCCCACCCCCATCCCATCCCTCAACCCCCCATCGTTCTAATGCTACGTTAAATTTTACTTCCACGCATGAACGAATTCACATATCATTATTTATTATTATTCTCAACAAAAGTTTCCTTTTTTTATAATTTAAGTGTTGAATTTTCAATAAATTTTCTTTGCTTTTAATCATTTTTATTTATTTTACTTTTAACTTTTATTTTACAATACTTATTTATAAATTTACTTTTATTATTATTATTATTATTATTATTATTATTCTCGTCGTCGTCGTCGACGTCGTCATGCGTCAACCTCTTTTATCCAAAAATTATTAAATGTCGAAATGAAAAAAAAAGTAAAAGTAAAGGTTTTTTTTGACACACGTTTCTTTGTAGATTAGTAATAAAAACACACGCAAGAGCGCGTGCGAGGAGAAGGGGGCCCAAGGGGGGGGAGAGAGAGAGAAAGTATTACGCGGTAATTCTAATGAAAATAAAAAAAAAAAACAGGATTCAAAGAATGTTTGGTGAAAGTTTACCCGAGGGAAGACATATCACTGTTGGATTTAAGCCATCACCTTTAATCGATTGGGTAATCCATCAACCAGGTTGTGATGGAAGGTGAAATTCACTTTCCTTTTTTTTCTTTTCCTTTTACACGCACTCTCTCTCTCTCTCTTTAACTCTCTTTTACTCTCTCTCTTTCTCTCTCGTAAATTTTTTTTATCCGTTTTATTTATTTATTTAACTTTTTCTATTTCTCTCTCTTTCTCTTACTTTCTTCGTTTTTTCTTATTTTTTTTACTCTACCCCCACCCACTCTTTCTCTCTCTCTCTTTTTCTTTCATCCCTCATTTGAGGTGAATGGAAATTTTTTCCTCATTTTTTTTTTTCTACTCTTCTTAGCATACGTATTTCCTTCCATATATTTTTAGTCATCCTGCTGTTTCTCTTTTTTTCCTTACCCTGACATACAGGGATCGTTAACCATCCTAATAGTTTTTTTTTTTTTTCGAATTGCTGTCTTTTTTTTTTATTCTTCTTCCACGGCTTTCAGCTTTAATGCTTTTTAATTTTGAAAAAAAAAAAAATCTAGAAAACCTTTTTTACTTTCGAGAAGAAGAAAAAACAAAAAAAAAAAAAAAAGAGAGAGAGTTTTTTATAGTCGTGACTTATCGAGAGAGAGAAAGAGAGACTTTTTAATAAAAAAAAAAAATTATCTAAAAATACGTTTTCTAAATACACGTTTAATAAAAAAAAAAAAAAAAATTTTTAAGTCCCACGCATTCACACGCAAAAGAGAGAGAGAGAAAAAAAAAGTAAATAACGCGCGGGAGTCTTTTTATTTGAATGTGATGTAATTGAATTTAAACGCGGGGGGACGAGAAGGGGAGGAGAGAAGTGGGTAGGATGAGAAGGATGAGGGGAGGGAGGAGGGAGGGGATAAGAACAAAAGCAGACGCCAAATAAAATGCGGTCATTAGAACTGCTGTTATCGCTTAACTAATGACTGCATGAAAGCTAATTAAAATCTTTATGATTGATCCAGACCTCAATGTGGGACGATTAACTTAAGGAGAAACCGCAACAACAACAACAAACAACTACAAACAAAAACAAACAATAATATAAACAAACATGATATAGAAATAGAGATAGGAAAAAAATGAAAAAAATTCATCGCCATTTTTTTTTTTTTATATTAATTTTTTTTTCGGGTAAAAAATTTACCTGTCGGGAAAATAGGATGGGGATGTGGTGAGGGGAGGTAGGGAGAGGATTTTTTTTTTTTTTATAAAGTTGGCAATTTTTATTGTTTAAAAAAAAAAAAAAAAAATATTTATTTTTATTCCGGTGTGTGTGCGAACGTGTGTGTGTGTACATGGAAACCAATTGAAATTTTCCTAATTGTTTTCCTCGGGGAAAATTGGCGCCACGTCTAAAAAAAAAAAAAATTCTGTCTGGTTCCCTACGTTGTTCGTTCGTTGTTCCTTTTTTTTTAAAAAAATTCATTTGAAATTTTTTTTTTTTTTTTTTTTTTAACGAATTCTCGGCGTCTTTTGTTCCGTCGAACTCCCCCGCCATTTTTTTTTTTTTTTTTTTTAATACAACTGAGCGGATTTGTCAGATGTTAAAACTTTGCCATTAAAAAATTGTAAATTAAATTTTTTTTTTTTTTTTTGTAAGATTTTTATGACGTGTGCGGTTTTTTTTTGCCAGAAATTTATTTAAAAATTAAAAAAATTGATTTGGCTCCGATAAAAAAAAATTTTCATATCCGTCGTGGAATTAGATAAAACCTAAAAAACTTCTAATATCATCGTACACACACGTAAACAATCTCTCGCGTTTTTTTTTTTTTTACTTAATCTTACGACACGTTCGTTTTTCCCTCATCCCATTCCCCCTTCCAACCCTCGGTTACTTTTATGTGGGAGTGCGGGGGTGCGATGCGATCGTCGTAAAAAAAAATTCACCCTTAAAACGAATCTTAAAAAATTTTTTTTTTTTTTATTAATTTAATTTTTTTTTTATTTGACTTTCACCCCTTTTTTTTTTTTTTTTTTGTTTAAAAAAATTTTTTGCTGTCGTTAAGAAAAAAAAAAAAAATTTTTTTTTTTTTTTTCGAGGCAATCGAACTTTTCGCCTTATTAATTTTTACCCCTCGTGTTTTTTTTTTTAAAACTTTTTCTACCCTCTCCCGATTTTCCCTTATTTTTTATGGCCAAGGTGGGACAATTTGTGTAAATTCTTTTATTATTATTATTATTAATATTGCTACTGTTTACGACTCGGTTTTGAAATTATAACAATAACACGAAATGAACCCGTTATTTATTTATTTATTTTTTTTTTAAATCATAAAAATAACTGATTTTGTTAATTGTTGATTTTATATAATGTGAAGAGGGGATGATGATGATAATGATGATAATGATAATGATAATAAAAATTATTTGTAGAGTTTTTAATGTTTAAAAAAAAAAATTTTTTTATAAGGAGAGAAAATAAATCGAATGAATGGTTAAAATTGAAGGTCGTAAAACGATCGTTTTTGTCGCGAGAAATGAGAGAGAGAGAGAGGGAGAGAGAGATAGAAAAATTCTCTTAACGTCATTTCCTTTAAATAATAATAATAATAATTGTTTTAGTGCTGACACTTGATGCCGAAGAATTTTCCTTTTTTTTTTTGTTCATTCATTTTATTATTCTTTTCCTTCCTTCTTCTTCCTTTTTTCATTTCGTTTCGTTTTTATTGGGTTGGCCAATAAGTAACTGCGGATTTTACCAACAGATAGTTTGTTTATTTTTTTGAGTACGTTTACGTTTTTGTACAAACATGAACTTTTGGTATGTTATTACTTGGTTCCTTCTGTAACATTCGGTACCAAAATTTCATTGAACTCATAAATAGTACGCGAGCAAAAGACATTTAAACATGGGGAGCCAAAGCGAGCATTTCCTCCACATTTTACTTTTTTATTTCTGAAAGGGTGTTAATGCTTCCCAGGCCAATAAAATGTTGTGAGCTGTGTAGGGGGATGAAACCTTAATAGAACGGCAGTGTCAAAACTGGTTTGCGAAATTCCGTTCTGGAGATTTTCCTTTAAAAAATGAGGAGCGCTCCGGGCGTCCATTGGAGGTTAACGATGAGCAAATAAAGGCCCTCATTGATTATGATCGGCATAGTTCGACGAAGGACATTGTAAAGAAGCTAGATGTGTCACATACGTGCGTCAAAAACTGTCTGCGGCGTCTTGGGTGCCAAAAAAAGCTTTATGCGTTACTTTGGGGAACGTTAGTTAACGAGGCGACTTGGTTTTTGCGATATGCTTCTTAAACGCAATGCGAATGGCCCTTTTTTGAAAGAATGGTCACCGGAGATGAAAAGTGGGTTGTCTATGATGACTTTTTGAGAAAAAGATCCTGGTCTAGGCAAGGAAAGAGGCACCAACAACTTCTTTGAATGACATTCACCAAAAAAAGGTATTGTTATCATTTTGGTGGGATTACAAAGGCATAGTCTACTTTGAGCTGCTGCCACGAAATCAGATCATAAATTCAGAGGTTTACATTCGACAATTGACAAATTTAAATGATACCATCCAAGAAAAACGATCGGAGCTAGCCAATAGCAAAGAAATTGTCTTTCACCACGATAATGCCAGGCCCTCCCCATCTTTAGCCACTGGACAAAAACTACTGGAGCTAGGCTGGAATGTTTTGCTGCACCCTCCATATAGTCCCAAACTAGCTCCAAATAATTATCATTTTTTCCGATTCCTAAAAAATTTTTTAAACGGAGAAAAATTCCAAAACGACAATGAGGTCAAAACTGCATTGGAGCAGTTTTTTGCTCCTAAAACTAAAGAGTTTTATGAAAAAAGGAAAATGATACTACCCAAAAAATGTCAAAAGGTCACCAATAATAATGGACATAATATAATACATAAAAATAATTTTGCATAATTAATAGATCGTTTTTTGTTTTCTTAAAAAATTCGTAAATACCTTTTTGCCAACCCAATAACTCTCATCGTCGTACGAATGTCTATACCGTTATCTACTTACACGTTACGTGTCACTAAAGCGGTAAAAAAAAAAAAAAAAACGATTCCGACACGAAAAAATTCATTCGGTCCAGACGGATTTTTTTTTCTTTTCTCGTTCGTTTCAATCTTTTTTTCTTTAAATCGTTCGGGAAAATTTATTCTTATTCCACGTCGATTTTAATTTTTTTTTATACACGTTTTCAACACACCTTTTTTTTTTTTTAAACACGTGACGGTAGAAAAAAATTTACGTGTGTGTGAAAACTCATTAAAAACAAATTGCGTTGTTTCGTTGTCACATTTTCAACCCTCGCTCCAAAAATTTTAAATCTTTTTTTTCGTTGGAATAAAAAAACGGGGAAAATTTTTTTTTTATTTCCAAAGTTTTTTTTTTTATTTTAAGCTATAATTTAAAACGGATTTTCTGGAAATGAAAATAATAATAATAATAATAATAATAATAATAATAATAATGACGACAGGAGAGAAAGAGAGAGGAAAAACCTTTTTTTCGAGGGTCGGAAAAATTCAAAAATAAATAAATATATATATTATTAACGTCGTCGTGACATGACACAATTAAACTTTTGCAATTTTTCTTTCGTATTTAATATATTAATTTTTTTTTCTGCCGCGTGTGCGTGAGTGTGCGTGAGTGCGTGTGTGCGTGCGAAAGGTCCGTCGGTTATATTATCAACTCGAATAATAACACCTTCGATAATGTGTACATTTTGGAAAAGACTCAACCCGTCCGTTGTTTAATCTAAAACGTAAACAAGAAAGTTGTCTGACCGACGGTTATTTAATCCTTTTCATAATCTCGGATTCTCAACTTTTAAAATTTTCATGTTTTTCAAAAAGATTATATTTAAACTGGAAATAAAAAAAAAATTTTCCTCCTTTTCCTCTTTTTTCTGGGGGGCTTGGGGAGAAGAAGAAAGGAGGATGAGAGAAAAGCAAGCGTGTGTGTGTGTGTGTTTTGAGTAAGTGAGCGAGAGTTTTTATTCGAACCTATTCATTTTTTTTTCTTTTTTTTTTTTCTATTAAATAATCTAAACAAATTTCGAACGGTTTCCGCTTCCTTCCCTCCCCTTTCTCTCCTTCTCCTTCCTTCCTTAACATTTCCACTTTCGTACAAAACCGCAGCCATTTTTATTTATTTATTTATTTATTTTTCCCAGACGAAAAAAAAAAATATTTATATTATTATTATTATTATTATCATCATCCGAATAATAACGGAAAATGGAAACTTTTAAAACTTTTCTATTTACACGTTTATTTTTTTTTTTTTTACAATGCATATCGTTTTAAAGAGTTTTATTATTAAAATGGGGAGTCGGAATTAAAAAAAAAAATAAATAAATAATGATTATTAAAGTTTTTTTTTCGGGGCGAAAAAAAAAGATTAAAAAAATTTATTTGGGGGTGGGGGAGGGGGAAATAAGGCGCCGAAAAATAAGCAAAAAGAAAATTCTGAGAAAATGACGTGTCAATAATAATAATAAATAATTAAAAGTTTTATTTGATAAGTTGTCATATGATGATGATAACATCAAAATTTTGTTTTATTTTTATACTTTCTCAAACGTAAAAAGAGAGGGAGGGGTAGGAGTCAGGGGTGAATACCTTTGAACTTTTGCCAATTTAATGGTCCAGAAAGAAGAAGAAAAAAAAGAAAAAACATAAAATTTATTATTATTATTATTAACGATTGTTTTTCCGATCGAAAAAAAAAAAATTGTTGATATTTTTCCACTCCCGTCGTGACGTAACGTTTAAATTATCTTAAATTGGTCATTATTCGATTTACAATTTATTATTTTTTGAAAAAAAGAATAAAGGGGGAGGAGAAGGGGGAATTTTCCCAACGATTTTTCCACAAAAGAGATAGAAGAAACCATTTTGTTTCACCTCTTTCCTTTTTTATGCACTCACGCGACGACTTTAACGTTCAACCAATTAATTATTAAAATTTTCTTTAATTAATATTTTAAATATAAGAGAGATAAAATGAAATCAAGTTGTAGTTAAAAGTAATTTTAAACAATTGAACATGTAAATGTGATTGACTATCCCGAAACATCCTCATTTTCTAATTCCACGTTCGGTTTTTCTTGTCTTGTCCCTTCTTTCTTGTTAAACGGAAAATCTTCGTTTTACTTTTACTTATTCGATGAATAAATAAAATTGAAAATTTTCACGTAAATAAAATTAAAATGATTCAATGGAATGGAATGAAATAATAATAATAATAATGATAAAAGGTTTCAAAGAGAAAATGTCGACGATGATGATGACGTCATAAGGAAAAGGGACAAATTGTGTTCAATTGTTTGAGAAAACATTTAATAAACAAATTTCAAACTTCTACTAAAATTATTCCTTACCTTTTTTTTCCTTTGAGAGAGTAAGAAAATCGCGGAGGTTTTGATATAAGAGAGAGAGAGAGAGGAGAAGACAAATCACGTGACTGACACACATATACTCTCGCGTAATAAATCATAAATGTTGTCGTGTCATTACCTTCAACCTTCCGTTTGTTATTTCGAAAAAAAAAAATTTTTTTTTTTCACCTCCCTCGTGAAAAAATTTTAAGAAGCAGACGACGAACGTGTAACGAACGGATTTGACGTTTTCCCGATAAGCAATTTTTAGTTTATTTTTTTTTTTATCTCTATCACTCTCTCCTTTTCTTTCCTTTTTGTTTACGAAATAAAACGACATGGTTGTTAAGAAAAGAAAATAAAAAAAGAAGTTGGCAAACCTGCATTAATGTTTTGTCAACGTTAATTAAAAAAAAAAAAAAAAAATAAACAATTGAATCCGACGAAATGGCGCGAAATTAATTTGATGACGTCAAAGAACGAATCTGGGGAAAGAGCAGGTGGGTGAGGAGGTAGGTATAAAATCAATAATCAATACGAACGAGGATTTCGGATCGTAAAATTCATGTTATATCAATTAGTGAACGATGACAAAAAAAAAAAAATATTTTGAATTTTAATAATAATAATAATATTTTCGCATTTTTGTATAAAATCCGTCGTAAATATTTTTTTTCCCTTCCTCTCTCCCACTCTTCCACTCTTCCTGCCTTCCTTTTTTTTCCTTTCTCTCCCTTTTTGTCGAACAAATGCGAAAAATGCGATTTAGGGTGTCGCCATTCGAAAAATGTCAAATTATATTTTTTAAAAAAAAAGATGGCCGCGGAAATTATTTTATAAAAAATTTTTTAAAATCGTTAAAATGAGATTTTTAATCGATTGTTCGAGATTTTTTTTTTTTTTTATAATTCGATTTTTCGATTTGTGTTATTTTGTTGGTAGCAATGATATTTATTTAGGGTCACGTCATAAAAAAAAAAATTTTTTTTATAATACGATGGACTACGATGGTTTTGATATTCACATTGGGAAATACAAACGGAAATCGTTAAAAAAAAATTTTCTTTTTTTTTTTTCTCTCTATCTCTCTCTGTCTCTCTCTCTTTCCGATTGGTTTTTTTTTTTTACTGGAAAATTTATTACATTTGGGACTTTTCTCTTTTCCAATATTTTTCATTTTGTGTTTTTTTTTTTTTTTTTTATAGAAAAAATTTATTTATTTTAACCTACCTAAAAATCATCTTTTTTTTTTATTCTTATTCTCCCCCCTTTTCCCCCGAGTTTGACCGATTTGTCGGTTGTTACTTTATCCACTTCCGTTTCCGTTTCGGTTTTTTTTTTTTTATTTACTTTTTTACCTTTTTTTTTTTGAAAATGATTTTGAAATTTTATTTTTATAGAAATCATGTCGTGATTTTTAGGTTTGACGTCGACGCCGCCATTTTTAAATATTCTTTTGGACTTTTATTCAAAAATACTCGCTCTCTCTCTCTTTCTCTTTTTTTTTCTTTTCTTCTTTCTTACCCTCTCTTTTCCTTTTTTTTCATTTTCTTATTTATTTCTGTACCTTTACTTCTTTCTCTTTCTCTGTGCTTATATATCGATGTAACTTTTTCTTTCGTTTTTGATTCTCCCTTTCTCTTTCTCTCTTTTTCTCTCTCTTTCCTTCTTTCTTATTTTCACTCTCTTTCTTTTTTTTTCTTACCCTCTCTTTATTTTTCTTTTCTCATCCAATTTCCTCACCTTTTTTTCTCATTCTTTCTCTCTGTTTATCAACTATCCATGCAACTTTTTTTTTCATTCTTTTTCATTCTCTCTCTGTCTCTTTCTCTCTCTCTACTTGTTCATTTTTTTACTTTTCTCTCTTTTTTCCTCTATCTATCCATCTGTTAAAACATTTATATGCGTCTTTCTCTTTCCGTCTTTTTCGTAACCCCTTAAAAAACTCCTTTCAATGACGTACCTTACATACACACGTGGCACAAATTTTTTTTTTTTTTTTTTCATTATCGTAACAATCATCATCATCATCATCATCATCATTCTTTCATTACGACGACGACGATGACAAATATAAGAAAAAAAAAAAATTCATTTCGTTTCGAGTTTTTGTGTGTGTGTATTAATAAAAAAAAAAAGAAAAAAAAATTGTAAAAAGGAAATTTTTAAAAGGAAGAATTTGCAAAGGAAATGATGATTCCCGAAGTTCCAATCAAATCCCCCCTCCCCCCGAAAAAAAAAAAAATTTTTTTTAACAAAGCTATCTGACAATTTTTTTTTTTTTTTTTTTCATCATCATTCGTAACGAAAAAAAAGAAAAGGAAAAAAAGGAAGAAGAAGAAGAAGAAAAACCTCCCTGGGGCTCTTATCACAAGAGTGATGTTTAATCAAAAGATTCTTTTCGTGATAACAGTTTTTTTTTTTTTCATTCTTTTGAAAAAAAAAAAAAAAAAATAACAAAAAGAAAATGAAAAATCTCAGGGAAAAAAAAAGAAAATTTTCTTTTTCTATATCACACCATTACATGTTC